GTTCTAGTGCACACAGGAGAGAGAAATGCTCAACAAATATTTTAATGAATGCATCACTTAATTAACAACAGAGAGATCATATGTTACGTGCTAAAAGCATAGAAGAAATGGCAAATTCTGGAGCTGTTTAGAAGGGAGTGGGGGAGCGGCTCATGAAGAAGGCCCCGGGGAAATAACGTGTGATCTGGCCATTTTTGTGACTCTTGGGCACCTGCTTCACACACATTCACTTCTCACTAGTGCCATGTTAAGGTGTGGGGTCCTCGATGACAGGGAAGTTGATGAGGATTTATAAACACTCCTCTGAAAGATTCTCAACGAGCTCACCAAAGCCACTTCTCTGCATGTGCATGTGTACGTGTGACAGTGGCAGCCAGGCCAGGTGACCTTGTTCAGCCAGTCTCCATCACTGCCACTTCCTAAAAGCCACTGCAGGTAGCCACCTGTGAGTGATAGAAAGGACCTAATTACCACACCCTCCAGCCCGTGTTCTGGTGGGGAGCCAGGGCATTCATAAAGAATTATGAAGAGAAATATCTCTGAGCGTAAGTGACGCACTTGGAGAAACCTTCACAAACATCACAGCCCAAAAGGGGCACAAGAATAAAAACCAACCACGGACAGCTCACTCAGACTGCGCAAGTAGATCTCGTGGAAGGGAGAGAGATAGCTGAGGCAGGAGGGCCCTGTAAGCCACGTTGCTGTTTTATGTGTATTTCTTTGATCGTCAGCCACATTGCCAGGTTCCAGAAGGCATGGCCTAAAGCTCCGACACCATGCAGCTGCCATGGCCCTAGGTATTGGTCTGTAGCAGGTGCTACTGTGGTTTGGAGGTTGAATATCCCCTAGAGGCCCAGGTGATCAAGGCTTGGTCCTCAGGGTGGCACTATTGGGAGGTGACAGAATATTCATGAAGAGGGACACTGTGGAAGGTACTTAGGTCATTGGTGGCATGACCTTGAAGTGGACTGTGGGACACCAGACCCCTTCCTCTGTCTCTCTGGCTCCTTGGCCATATCTCTACCACTTGCTCCCTGCTATTGCCATCTGGTACCCCCACCAGAGGCCTAAAAGCAATGAGTCTGCTTGTGATCATGGACTAGAATCTCTAAAGTTATGAGTCAAAATAACCACTTTTTTATAAGTTTATTTTCTCAGCTGTTTTGTTATAGTGATGGAAAACTGACTAATAGATGCACAATACCTGTTGCTTACTGCTAAAGAGAAGCCCATCTGTAAATATACCACATTAAAGAGGACACAGTGAGCTGGGCACGGTGGCACATGCCTGTAATCCCAGCGGCTCAGAAGGCTGATACAGGAGGATCTCAAGTTCAAAGCCAGCCTCAGTAATGGGTAAGGTGCTAAGCAACTCAGTAAGACTCTGTCTCTAAATAAAATACAAAATAGGGCTGTGGATGTGGCTCAGTGGTTGAGTGCCCCTGAGTTCAATCCCCAGTACCAAAAGAAAAAGAGGACACATGAGGGCATCAGGTAGGGCTCATGCTGAATAGGACCCTGGGCACCATCCTAAGCAAGAGGATTTCTTTGTTGTTGGTTTTGTAGGGCTGAGGAAGGAATTCAGGGCTTTCTATGTGCCAGGCTGTCGGTCTATCACTGAGCTACACCCTCAGCTTTCAGACATGGTTTTTGAAGAAGATTGGAGAGGGTGGTTCTGTGGTAGCAAGTTGTTGTACTAGGTGTAGAGAAGTGAGGGTGTGTGGGTGCTTGGGTAGGGGCTTGTGGTCAGAAATGGTAGGTAAGGGGATTCTGCAGAGGGGTGGTGAGTGAGAAGATCGCTGCCAGTGGACAAGAAGGGAGAAGAGCGATGAACATCGTGAATGACTGCCCACCGTTGGAGGTGCTGCCTATATCAGGGGTCACGGAACATATTCCACGCAGTTTGTGGGCTAAGGCTCAGGCCGAGGTTTATGAGCTTGTGTGTAACAGCGGAGAGGTGGAGAGGTCTCGCTTGGCGGAGTTCACCACCGGCCCACTAATTTAACTCTGAGACCTCGCCAGGGCTTTCTGCTCTGCAAGGAGCTGGCAGGCAGAGCGGTGACTCCCACACAGCCCACCCACCAGCCAGGGCTCTGCAGCGGCAGAGGCATCGACAGGCCCCATCTCCATGAAGGGGCTCTTAGGAAAAGAAGCTTCTTCAGGTGACTGGAAAGGCCCGTGCCCTGCTTGCACGGCGCTTGGAGAAGACCATGTGCCTGTGGAATCCAGACTGGACAGCGGGGCAGCTGACAGGGAGGCTGGCCAAGTGCTGCCACAGCCACCAGGGAGGGAGGTGGCAGCTGGCCTCCAGTGAGGAGGGGACAAACAACTAGAGGAATGTTTTCGATTCCACTTTGATGTGGTGACACTGAGGAAAGAGGACTGAGCTTGGGGGCAAAGGCAGCTTCACCAGACCAGTCCCCCAACGGGATCTTCCGGAAGCCCTTCAGCGGAAGGACCCTAGGCCAGCCTGATGCGAGGCTCCACCTCCAACCACTGGACCTTGGGAGAAAGCGTCCTCTGCTACCTTAGGCTGCTGTCTTAGTGGCCACACTTGGCCTGTGATTTACACCGGCTCTTGATGAGAAGGCACGTGGTGGAGGTGTGGATAACGACAGGCTGAATTACACCATCCATGGCAACCAGGCCTGACTCGTCCCCTGAGCCACACTCTGCAGAGCGTTTTCCATGCATTATTTAACTTGATCCTGAACAAAACCACTGAGGTAAATAAGATTATTTCTTTCGTATTTTATAAATGAAGAAAAGGAGATTTGGAGCCTTGTCCTCAGGCCACAAGGGGAGTAAGTGGCAGAGCCAGGACTCAGTTCTCAGCTACATGGGAACATCAAGGGTCCACCCACTTATCGCCGACTCTTTGTCCTTGGTGTATGGACCGTAGCGTTGGACTTTACCATTATACTGTTATTGTCCAGTCATGACTATACTGTCATGATCACTTGTTCTGCGCCAGATTTAGGGTGAGGTGCTGGGGGTGCAGCCTTGAGAGCAGCGTGGTTCTACCAGGAGGGACGGGGTCTTGGGAGGGAACGGCAACCCGAAGGCAAACACACATTTACAACTCAGCATGCCCTGTCCTGTCTCTGAAGCTCACTCTAGGAGAGCCGAAGCACCCAGGGTGTCCAGAGTCGACTCTGTCTGGTGCTGGCACCATCTCATTCCAATCATAGATCCCTGACCCTTGAAGGACTCCCTTCTTGGTCATGGTTGCCTGACCTCAGGCCACAACAGCCTCCTTTCCTCAGAACCCTAACGTGCCCTCTTTTGCCACCAGCCAGGTGACTTCCTGTTCATCTTCTCTTCAATCCTTCCTGGGCACCTCGTGCTCGTCACGCGGCCTCTGTAAAAGGCGCTGTGCTAAGTGCACAGCAGTTTGATCAGGTGAGGACCACGGGCAACGTTGGCTGTTCATTTGTGGCACTAGATCTGAGCATGGTAGGAAATCAATAAACATTTGTTTGATTGATTAAGGTGCCCAGATGGAGCCTCCCCATGGTTGGGAGGTACCAAAATGAATCTCCTGAAAGTACTTCCGTGAAACCAGAGAGTGAATTGCAGAGCATCTGCGGGGTTCGTCTGGTGCTCCTCAGGTTGATAAATGGAGTCCGAGGCCCACCTTTGATGCCTTCGGGCCGCAGGGCCGGGGGCTTCAACAACCGCCTTCCAAATGTAAAAGTTCACTTTTGCTGGGGAGAATCAAAGACTCTGACTCTTTCAAGTAGTTTTGTGAAACAGATCTCAATCCAGCAGGGAAGATGCTAAGAAGCAATTAAAAAAAGAAAAATGTATTGTTGTTATTTTTACCTGCATCCTGTTCCTGGCTGTGCTGCTGCCTTCTGAAGGGGCCTTGGCACACACACTGCCTCCAAGTGCCAGTTCTCCCATCTGTAAAATAATCCCCGTCCTTGATCCTCCGCTCGCAGGGGTGCTGGGAAGCCTGGGGAGGTAGTGTCTGTGCTGTGCGTGCAGCTTCCTGGACAGAGGCGCTAGATAAATAAAGGCAATCACTGCTATTTAGAGGGTGCACAGTGGTTCAGAAGTGCTTTGTGCCCTGTCCCCTTTCTTCGTGTCTCCTCGCCCAAACGTCTCACCTCTGCTGCTACCCAGAAGCACAGTGGTTCTGATCTGCCTGTAGAGGGACTAATTGAACAGAACCCTGTTAGATCCCACCGAGTTAGCCCAGGCTGCCTGTCTTCTGGGGCTTTTGAGAGCTCCTCTCTTTGTTGAGAAAGGGAGAGAGAGACATTGCCAGGAATGGCAACTTGCTGGCTCCTTCATTAAGGCAGCTTTTCCCCAAAGGGTCTCCTTACCCCTTAAGCCATCTCCTCCTCTGAAACTCACTTCACACTGTGGCGGCTGGATGCAGGGACGCTCTTGCTCGGTTGCCTTGGCAACAACTTGTGTTTGTTGTCAGCAAAGTTTACTGTTCCGTTGTCATTGTCCCCCCCTCTGTCTCGTGGTTCAGAGTGGTGGATAAACTCTAGGAGGAGGGGAAACAAAGGAAACCCCCCAGGGAGTGACAGGAGGAGAGGTAAGAGCCAGCACAGAAGCCTCCAGAAAGGCACCGTTGGGTCTTTGGAGCCTGTGGAGCAGTTACACGTTGAAAAAAAAAAGCTGCTAAAACCAGGAAGCAATTTTTCTATAAAGATGCAAAGTCAGGTCAGTAGAGACCTTGGCACGACAGGCCTCGCCCCTTGAGAATCACAAGAACAAGGACTTCGCCAGCCACGCTGAACACCTCCTCAGGGTAGATTAAGGCCACTTTGGGTATATTCTCCTCACCCGCAGTGGACTTAGGTGTTATGGGTCCACTGACCCTTCCTGCGGGCTTTGCAGAGAGCCAGGCCTGGCCTTCACAGTGCAATCTGGCAGAACCGTCCCTCACGTTCCATAGGAGCACAGGCTATTCAAATAGTTTTGGTTAGCACATTCGCTTGGGATTTGTTCTTATTTTGTTTGTAATTTTTCTTCCCTTGGAGGACTTGGCATAGCTGAGCCAGAGAAGACGATTCCAAGACTTGTGAGTCTGAGAAACACAGCATTCTGGCCTCTTTCAGCTTCTGAGCTTTGACGCCTACATAGGTAAGTGACTTAAGTCGCCAAGTACGACTCTTACATTACAACGGGAGCAAGTGGCTTTATTGGGGACAAATTAGTTTGAATATCAACTGTAGGTTTAAAAGGCTACAGTTTTAGTGTTTCTTATTCATTTGTTCACCAAACCCTTATTGGGTTCTGATTATTTGCTAGCTACTATACTGGGCACCAGGGGTACAGGGATGAAGAAAACACTAGAACACCTCTACCTTCCTAGACGCTGTGCTCTCTCTCGGTCCCATAATCACTATTGGTGTTCACATAAGTGCTTCTGATAGTAGCAGAAACTAGATGGAGGACACAGAGTCATTGCACCCAAATTTTCCATACATATCACAACCTTAGGGTAAAAGGAGCCTTTAGAAGCCATCATTGGTTAAGAATGCCTGCTTCAATTTCTCGCTTCTTATCTAGCAGCAATTCGACTTCCAGAACATTCTCCAGATCTATTCACCCCCACAGCTCACCTGCCTCACACTAGTGTCTCCGAGCTGGTCTCTCTACTTCCATTCTTTTCCTCCTCCATAATCCATTCTCCACCCAGCTGACAGAGTGATCTTTTAAAAATGCAAATCAGATGATGTCTTCGCTGCTTAACGCCCTCCAAAGACTCCTCTGCACTTAGATTAAAACTTTAACTCTCACCCTCCCCACTAAATCCCCAACACGCTTAGCCACCCACTCCTTGACCTCACCTCCTCCGCTGTGCGGAATGGAATTGTTTGGTTGCTTACTTCTATTATAGCCCCAACTACCATGCACCAAAATGCCGCAGTCTGGCTGGGCACAAATCACGAGCCACTGAAGCAGGAACAAACTTTATTTCTGAACTCCACAAGCACACTCCACACATGCTCCCCGGGAACTCTCCCGAACGCCACGCGGCTCCTCTGGGAACCACCAACCGGAAAATCCCTCCTCCGGCACTTCCCCAACCAATGAGAACTCTTCAGGAATCCCGTGAGAGCTCAACCGGAACTCAACGGGAACTCCCAAGAACTCAAAAGTCATCATCTTAATGGCTTGCTGGCATCACCTCTCAACCACTACTTCTGGCAAAAATGCCATGCGTCATCCCGACTCGGCTGTGGCCCTCAACACCTAAACACATAGAGAAAACTAACCTCTAGGAGCTGGGTGCAACACCCTGGGTTCAATTCCTAGCACTAACAAAAGAGGAGAAAAATAAGAGAAAAAAAAATTCTTCTAAAATTAAATTCCTTCCCAGCCATTACTTTGTCTGATTTGTTAATTTTTACTTATAAAAGTGACTTACAAAGTAGATGATCATAATTGTTGTTGAATTTCTAAAACTCTGCATTTCATACTATTACCAGTGCCCTAGGCCAAAAGCCTGTCTCTCAGGGTTCCAACAAAGCAGGCCTAGCCACTTTCCCCCAAAACCAAACAGAGAGGTAATGGTGAAGAGCAGGAAAGCAACTTTAATTGCTTGTGGCCCCATCAGAAGCCAACGCGAGATCAAGACTCTCAGCCCTGTCTGCAGGGTGCCAACACGTGCTGTGGGTTTCACTAAAGAAAACTCAGGTCAGCCGTGAGAGGTACGCGGGGTCAGACTGTGGTCTGGAGGATCATTACCCAGTTCTGGATCTGTGAGGTGGCTCTGGGGAAGTGCTTGTCTCCTGAGAGGGCGATCTTCGTTTGTTTCACAGGATGCAGGGTCTATCAGTCCTGTGATCACGGGAAGGGACAATTGGTTCCTAGGACATGAGTGTTCCTGTTGGATGGGGCCCTCATCAGGGGGGTGACGGGCCTGCAGGTAGCCTCTGTTCCAGAAAGGTGTTGGGCAATGACTGGAGACTTCCAGCTGCCCCTCCAGGGGTCTGAGACAAGGTGCCCTAAATATTCCTGCAAATCTTAACTTAGCCATGAAGGGGGTCAAGATAGATTAGGTAAATTGGGGGCAATAAACCTGCATTTACTAATTCTTACATGACCACTCCTTAAGGATTAATATGTCTGTATACAGAACTGAGCAGGTCACGAAGTTCAAGGAGACAGTGACAAAACGAAGGCAGAGAGGCCAAACTTTGTCCTGCTTTCAGTTATCCATGGGGCATCTCAGTAGAGTTACTTTTAGCAAAGGCAACCTCTCAAACTCCCTTAGTAATATCTGCATTACTAGGGTCCCCAATGTATATGTTATTTTAAGAATTTGTTTAGGTTTTCTCATATTGTGCACATTTTTCTCTCCCTTTACTATCCACCTCTCGGACTTTGTTACATGAGACAAACCCACTTCCTACTTATGGACGCTATTTCAGTGTTGTATGGAGCTCTTAGGTCCCACTACATCTTCTGTTTTCCAGGCTAAATGCTCTTTGTTCCTTTAACCTTTGACATGGGCTGACCTTCTCTCTCTTGCTTTCTTTTCTCTTGAAACCTACAAGTTTGCCTGGTTTTCTCTTAAAATGTCTGACTGGTTTAGTTAAATATCATAGCTATCTAGGGAAGAGGGGATGAGTCAATTAACAGGGAACGTTTGGCTGGTGAAAAAGAAACTTCGTCCAATGCTGTAAAATGTTTATTGATCGCTTACATGAAACTAGTTTAATGTCTGACCAATTAAACCTAATTGAAGGCCCTGCTCTTCCAAGCCAAGTCCATTGGATTTTGAGCGGTGACCTGACGGGGAGATTAGTGAGAGCAGTTCCAACTAATTCTCTGTTCTTAACTGCTCCTAATACAGGCTGGTGCTCAATAAATATGGTATCAAAATAATTATAATAAAATTATGCAAAATCTAAGACCTGATAATTAATGAAGAAGTATTTGAACTGTCAGTGGTGTCTTGAGCCCTAAAGGGAAAAATAATAACCTGACAATAAAAGTGAAATATGAGATCAACCAATTAATTAGCAGAATAATTTAATCTGATGCTCTGAAAGTAGGCCAATTAAAATGCACTGTTACTATTTAACATTGATTAAACGAGGTGCTAGATCCTGCACGCAGTTTGAAAATAGACCTTTTTCCTACCCTCAGGGAACTTAAAGCTAATTTAAGCAGTTGCATCTAAAAGGACAAAGGAGCAGGAGGTGTGGTGTGGATTGATTTCCTGGAGCTTCTTCTCCTAGTGTTGGAGGAGCAGAAAGGGCTGTTCCCACTGCCATCAAACGTCCCCTCCCCTCCGCTCACACCCAGCCTCAGCCTCCTGCCTTCTGTAGAGGTGACAAAGGTCAAGTCAGGCTAGAAGAAATGATTAAAACCTCCAGAGGCTTACCTGAAATCGTGAAGTCTTCTACACTTGAGCTACTGAGGAGAAAAGAGGATCCCAGACATCATTAGTGCCTTTGATAATTCGTTAGGAATAATTCATCAGCTGCTAATGAAACAACAATAACAACAATAAATACAAAAGCAACCGAAACCATCTTGCCTCCCAGTGTACTTAGGGGAACACGCATACCCACTCTCACATTTAATGATGGTACAAGGATAAACCACAAAGTAGCCCATTAACTGCTCATTTTACTTTAAGGAATTCTGATCTCTGACACAAATAATAATAATAATCTAAATGTACTTATAATTTGCAAGCCGCCTTCTTGTGAAATGAGTTTTGCAGTCTCCCCTTCCACTCTGCTCTCAGGGCTGGCTGATCAATATGTGGGTGTCATAACACTGTCCCTGAAAGGAGCCCCCACTGCTGCCATCTCACCAGAGGCAGCACAGGTGAGGGACACCCTGCTTCTCTTTCCTGGATTGCATGTGTGCTGTTGGGGTGCCCTTTGAATTGCACTTCTGGGAGACCAAGAAGGCTGTGTTGAGGCGCCCATCCTATTCTCCTTAGGGACTGCTGGAGTGCATGTAGGAGATGCTGGAGAACAGCTTCTGCCTGGGCACCGTCCTACCTAGGAAGAGTCTCACCCAGCTAGAGACGTAGCTAGCTCAGCAGCAGAGCATCTACCTATGTACACGAAACCTGAGTTTGATCCCCAGCACCTCACACACCAAAAAAGATACCATCAAAGTAGAAGAAAGACTATTAGGGAAAAGAAAGGGGGTCAGGGGAAAGGGGAGGGTAAATAGGGGTGGTGGGTATGACTGAAGTAGAGACGATGTGCATGCATGAACCTGCTACAACAAAGCCCATTATTCCATACAATCATTAAGCACTGTAAGTAGAAAAAAGGGACTCACCCAGGGCCCAGGACTAACAAACACCATGCTTTCATGAGACCATTCAGCAATGTAAGAGGCCAAAATGAGTGGTCCTTTGCCAAAATGTATTGCAGACTGTACAAGTACACTAAATGACTGTGATTAAATACAATAGAGCTCAGAACTCATCTACTAAGGCTAGTACCAATTGCCAAGTGACATGTACCAACGTCTGGTTTCCACTCATGTGTCCATGACTCCAGGTTAGAGTACAGGTATTTGCCTAAATCAATTGCACTGCCTGTAGCTTGACTTGATTCCTTGATGTGTGTTTACATGAGAACAGAATGGCAGCACTAACCAAAACAACATGTACAGCAGTCCCTCCCTCTCTGTGGGGGACACACTCCAAGACCCTGTTGGAGGTATGAAACTGTGGATAGTACCAAACCTTATGTGTACAGTACTCATTTTTTTCCTATATGCTCAGCACTGCCATGTAGTACCAGAGTTGATCTATACTTCCATGATTTTATGTCCTTGTCCCTTTGTATCAGTATTCTTGGGGCCATTATTAAGTAAAATAAGGATTACTTGAACATAAGCACTGTGATAGTCATAACAGCCAATCTAATAAGCATGATGGCTACAAATGAGTATCGGGCAGGTAGCCTATACTGTGTGGACATGTTGGACAAAGGGATGATTCATGTCCTGGCTGGGGATGGAGTGGGATGTTGTGAGATTTCATCATGCTACTCAGAACAGTGTGGAATTTAAAATATACTTTTTTATTTCTGGAACTTTCCACTTAGTGTTTTCAGACCTCAGTTGATCATAGGTCACTAGGGCCATGGAAAGAG